GGACCTCGGACCTCAGATCTCAGGTTCAATTCCCAGTCAAAGGCATATACTTTGGTTGCAGGTTTGATACCTGGCCTGAGTCTGGCTTTAGCAGGAGGCCACCAATCAATGTGTCCCTCACATCGATGTTTCTCTCTTTCCCACCTCCCTCCCTTATACTCTCTCTAAAAATAAAAAATAAATAAATAAAAATCAATGAAAAGTTTGGGTGAGGATTAAAAAAAAGAAAAAGAGAATAAAAGAGAAACCACTCCCAAGTTGCCTGATACTTAAACTAGACCACATTCGACGCTCGCCCTGGGTCCCAAATGCCTACTACTAGTGCGGAACTGCAAAGGTGAAGAATTCGGTTCAAAACATATATAGCAGCTCAATAAACACAATAATATGGAACTTGTAAAAGGAAAATGTTACTTTTCTTCATTCTAGGAAACACAGCTGAAGAGGGAATATTGTTCTGGTTTAGAAACCAGAATTAATAATATGGTTGAGCATAAGCTTGGTCAGTGGTCGGCAAACTCATTAATCAACAGAGCCAAATATCAACAGTACAACGATTGAAATTTCTTTTGAGAGCCAAATGTTTTAAACTTAAACTTCTTCTAATGCCCCTTCTTCAAAATAGACTCGCCCAGGCTGTGGTATTTTGTGGAAGAGCCACACTCAAGGGGCCAAAGAGCCTCATGTGGCTTGAGGGCCGCGGTTTGCCAACCACTGAGTTTGGTGATTTGAATAAAAAGTGGAGCCACCCAGTGTGTTCCAGAAGCTCACCAGAGTCAACTGAGGCCTGGCTACGTTGTTCCTCTTGGCTTCAGATATTTGGGTCAAAAAAACATTTTCAAAACACACACACACACACACACACACACACACACACACAAAAAAAACAAAAAACCTTTTACGCATTTTTGTAGCTTTGTGAATACTCAGAATTTGTCTTATAGTTTTTTGGTCTTTTAATTGAGAATTCATTATCAGTCAGTCAGCTCTGAATTAGTTTATGGTTAATTATCAGTCATATTGTTAACACTGAGTGCTGACTGTATGTACTTTACATATAACAATTTATTAATTCTCATAAGAACTGTGTGAGAGGGATACTATAGTATTCCCATTTTACAACTGGTTAAAAATTAAGCAAATATTGTGTACTAGGTACTAAGTGCTTAGTATGTAGTATTTCATTTGATAGTTTAAAATAATTATGAGATTCTATTAGTTCCCCTTCTTTACAGATGAGCAAATTGAGACTCAGAGAGGTGAATTTGTTTTAAATTGACACAGCTGGAAAGGGATGGGAGAGGAATTTTTAACCCAAGTCTACCTATTAACCCAAATTCTTGGCACATGTATATTGAAAAGCTAGAGATAATCTATATGTCCAATAATAAATAATTAGTTAAGAAAATGGTACATCTATATAATAGAATACTATATTGCCGCTGAAAATATATCATATTAATATGCAAAACAAACTTTTCAGATAAAGAAAGGCAGGTAAAATATGCACAATATGATTTCATTTAAAAATATATAAAAATATAAGCATAGTATATACATTTTCTTAAAAAGGAATATAAAAGCAAAATGAAAATGCAGGACCCTTGTAAAGGGTATCAGGCCTGACTAATGTGGCTCAGTGGTTGAGCATCAATCTATGTACCAGAAGATCACAGTTGGATTCCCAGTCGGCATATATCTGGGTTGGGGGCTTGATTCCCAGTGTGGGTTGTGAAGGAGGCAGCCAATCAATGATTCTCTCTCATCACTGATGTTACTATCTCTCTTACTCCCTTTTCCTTCCTCTCTGAAAAAAAAAAAAAAAAAAAAAAAAAAAAAAAAAAAAAAAAATATATATATATATATATATATATATATATATATATAATATATATATATATAAAAGCCTAAATGACTGTTATGACACTATGACATGCACTGACAACCAGGAGGCAGATGCTCAATGCAGGAGCTGCTCCCTGGTGGTCAGTGTGCTCCCACCGTCAACCTCCCGTGGCTGGCCAACTTCCCGCAGTCCCTCCTCCTGGCCAGCCAGCCCTGATTGGCCCCAATAGGGACTGGGTGAGATGGGCCCCGATCTGCCCTGATCACTGACCAGGCCAAGGAACCCCACCTGTGCATGAATTTATACACCATGCCTCTAGTGTGTGTGTGTGTGTGTGTGTGTGTGTGTGTGTGTGTGTGTATATATATATATTTTTTTTTTTTAAGGGTATGAAAATATGCCCCTTGGAATATGGATATTTTGAGCTGGTTGTATTGAGCAATAGCAGACATGGAAGGCTGTGAAACAGAGTAGAAGCTACTCCACTGTTACATTTGTAAAGGAAATTTCCATCTGTAGGTGTCTCCCTCAGTTCCAGGATGAGACAGATGACTGAATCACAAGAGAATCCTATCTTCGAGGAGGCAGATTACAGAACAAACTTTGCCCTCCTTACCTTGCTTTTCCTGGCCACCTCCCATAACTGGCCTCACCCCCAACATCTTTCATTTGTTTTTTTTTGTTTGTTTTTTTGTTTGTTTTTAAAAATATATATTTTATTGATTTTGTACAGAGAAGAAGGGAAAGAGATAGAGAGCTAGAAACATCGATGAGAGAGAGTCATCGATCAGCTGCCTCTTGCACACCCCCTACTGAAATATGCCTGCAACCAAGGTACATGCCCTTGACCAGAATCGAACCCGGGACCCTTCAGTCTCCAAGCCAACGCTCTATCCATTGAGCCAAACAGGTCTTGGCTCTTTCATTTGTTTTTAACTTAAATTGATATTCCAGGTGATGGCTTGGACCATCTGAAGAGTTATTCATTTTTCTTCCTTATTTCCCATGTATATACATAAGGTATATACATTTTTGTTATTGTTAATCCTCACCTGAGGATATTTTTCCCATTGATTTTTAGAGAGTGGGAGGGAGGGAGAGAGAGAGAGTAAGAAATAGAGAAACATCAATGTGAGAGAGACACATCAGTGGGTTGCCTCCTGCACATGCCCAGTCCAGGGCTGGGGATGGCCTGCAACCCAGATACCTGCCCTTGATTGGTAATTGAACCTGTAACCCTTTGGTGCACCAGCTGACACTCTACCACTGAGCCACACTGGCTAGGACTGAGGTATATATTTTAATAAACTTCCAGGGTTCCTCCCTCCTCCCCCCCCCCCTTATTTGTTGTTTTTTTTTTTTTTTTTTCCTTTTTAAAATGTCTGCATTATAGGGGCCTCAGCCAAAAAATCAGAAGGGTAGAGAAAATTTTTTTTCTTAATTTCAAGATGGTGACAGCAAGGCATTGAACCAAGTGAGAGAAAGCTTGAAACGCAGGCAGGGGTCCAGTGGGAAACAAAGACGGGGAACATAGGCAGGGGCAGACGTGGCAGTTTGAGCAGCCTAACCACAGGAACAACCAAGCAGCAATAACAAAATGTGTTTGGACTCAGAGTGGGAGGAATGTGAAACTAGGGAGGGCCTGCTACACTAAGGTGAACTGACACACAGGAACCAGAAAAGCTCAGGTCCATTGCTGGGCAAGAACAATGAGGGAATCAGGTAGCGACGCAGGTAAATAGAGCAGGTTTGTAGCAAATACATATCCCTAGAGTACAAGGCTTCATGGGCCACCATTATTGGTCCCCCTCCCTGTGAGGGGAGTCTGAATCTGCTAGTAATACATTTTTCACACCTTTGCTTGAATCTGGTCTGCAAAGTTCATTTTTTGGCATCGTGAGACACGACTCTGGGGGGTGGGGGGGAAACCTCAGCTCACATTCCTGTTATCACAAGTCCAGGATCCTCTGAGCCCAGTGACTGCACAGCTCACACCCCATGCAGCTGGCTTATAAATACTCTATGTCCTGCTTTCTACCACCCCCAAATACAGCACTTTGGAATACGATTAGTTCCAGCTGAAGGCCATTGGGATGCAGCTGACACAGGGAGGACTTTCTTTCCTGCTTCCTGCTTCCTGTCCAAACGCAGGGCATACATTTCCCCATGTGAAGGTGATGAAAATTTCCATTTGTAAAAGTTCTCTCTCTCCAGGAAGAGGAGTACTGTGATCTTCTCTGCATAATCATCCTTACTGAAGAAGTTTTATTTCTCATCTATCTCCTAGTCATTTCCCACAATTTACCTCTGGTAGGATCCCAAACCCCCTTTTCCTCTGTCTAGTCACTTCTCCACAATTCATCACCCTTTGTTAAAATGGTACACAATCCCCCGGACTTACTGCCTCTTTGGGTTTTCACCTCTTTTCTGTGAAACCCACTTACATATAAAAATATTTAGATTAATAAACATGGAGTTTTTCTCCTGTTAGTCTTTCTTTTGTTAGTTTCGTTAGAAGGCTCCCAGATGCAGAACCTGAGAGGGTAGAGGACAATTTTTTTTTCTCTCATACATTTGTCAGTATTGCATTGCTTGTAAGTCTTGCTTTGTTAATAAGAAAAATAACAACAATAAAAATATCCAATTTTTAGACCCTTTGATAAAATTCTCTAAACCAGGAGTGAGGAACATCTGGCCTGAGGGCCACCTAAAGCCCAATAAATCATTTGTCCTGGCTCTTCCAAGGCATTAGGGGTGAGTTAATTAAATGTTTGACCAAATATAGCAAGCTAATTTTTTTTTTCAGTTTTCTCTTTTATTAAGATAGGGAAAGATCCCTACTTCTTTATACAGTTGATGGGAAGGATTAACAGAAACAATAAAGAAATCCTTTTCCAATATAAAGAAGACAATTAGAAGTGATAAATGATCATTATAACCCTTTGGACAGTGCCCAAAGGATCTGGGTCAAGGTTTCAGAATGACTTTCCCCGGGTTCAGGCTAGATGTTATCTATTGTAGGCATCAACATGACTGACTGCAGTCCTTTACACCAAAGGGGAAAGGCTGAGCTCCTCACCCCTTTACCTTGCAGACCACATGCCACAGTTCTCCCATCTCTGCCCGAGAAGAGCTCCAGGTGGTCTAGGAAGATTCACATCCGTAGCTGCAGGTTTTGGTCCCAGGGTCTTGGTGATCCCTTCTGTCCTCTTGGAATCATTGCTGGTTTGGGCTTCAGGTTGGGATTCTGGAGGGTGAGTGGGGCTCCCCGACAGCTAATGAGGATGAATTTGTTGGGCCCATTGCTGCCACTCTCCTTGCCTTTGGCCGCCAATGCTGTGATGATGCTCTGGATATTGGCATTGTTGGGGATGGCCACCACTTGGGTGTTGGGCATAGTGGGGTGGTTAATAATCTTGATCCCAACTGGAAACTTGCAAGAGGTGGACTCTGCCACCTCACTGGAGGCCTGTGCATCACCAGGCTCTTGTTGGACAGAGGGCCTTTTAGGCTTCTCCTCTGATGTTTCACCTGGAGCATTTTGAACAGGTAAGGGCGGCCTCCGTCTTTTGAGAATCAGTGGCTGATGGGGGCTGGTTTTCATTATGAATCTATGATTTCACTCTCCATTGAGAATCACAAGAATGGTCCCTGGGAAGTGCAAGGAGCAGCAGGATGTCATAGATCTCCCGGCTGCAGTCGCGGTCGCCGCTGGGCCTTGGCTCCTCGGGGCGGGCTCCGGGCTCCTCCACCCTGGGGCCGGGCCAGGGTGCCGGGCAGGCGCTCGCGCCCGGCCCGCCGGATCCCGGCGTGCGGGAGGGGTGGGGAATCCCGGGGGATCCCTGGAGGGGAGGGGGTCCCGGGCTGGGGGCCGGGGGTGGGGTCGAGCACCTAGCAAGCTAATTTTTAAGTTGATAATTTTGTATGACCCACGAATGATGTGACAAATATCCAAATGGCCCTTGGTGGAAAAAAGGTTCCCCACCTCGATAAACAAATGAAAATCAAATATCATGACGGAAGTAAAGTACAAGAACCATTGATGAGCGATGAATCTTACCTTTACAATTGATTACATTTACAATTAAATGGATGATGACAGTTCAGTGGGGATGACACTGTGATTTTGAAACAGGAGAGATATTCTGCGAAGGAAACATGGTAATAGTCTGGGATTGAAATCCTATCATGATCTCATCCAAACTCAGGATTTGGGCGATAGGGAGGATGTGGGTAGTTAAAGGTCCTAAAGATTTTATTTCAATGGAAGGAGGGGAGAAGCATTGAACGAGTAATCTGGATGATGCAAGATTTCATCACACTACTGAGAATGGTGGGCGTGCAATTTCAAATTTAATTGTTTCTGGAATTTTCCATTTAATATTTTGGACTACACTGGATGGTGGGTTACTAAAACCGCCAACAGTGAAACTACATATAAAGGGTGTACTGTGGAAGAATACCAGCCTCTACTTCATAAGATAGTTATACCATATTTTAATCGACTATAATATATGTATATTAAGTTCAACCAAAGGTTAATCATAAGTTATGTGCATGAGGTTCTTAATCACGGCAGCATTTGTAACAATGGTAAAAGACCATCTGAATGGCCCCAAATAGTGGATAGTGAAACATACTGTGCACATATCCACTTAATAAAATTTAATTTTAAAATATGAATTGTGTAAATAATGTAGAAAGATAGGGAATGATAATGTTAACTAAGGGGAGTAGAATATAGTAAAAATATTCCTAGACTCTGATTGCAACAGGTCAAAAAAGGACATTCGCCAATGAGCAATTACAAGAAGGAGCACAAATAAAACAGGAATCATCGATGTCTTAGGCTAGTGGAATGTGGGTGAAGTCTTTTTTGTATTAATTACTTTTGTTGTCATACAGTTGCTTAAGCACTAGATGAAAACAAAGGAACAAATGGGTGGAAGTGGAAGAGATCAAACTATTAGACAACCCTTGAAGAATTTTGCTGTATAGGGAAGCAGAAATGGCTAGTACCAGGGGAGGGTGTGGGGTCAAGACAAGGGCGGGGTTCCTTTGAAGATTAGAAGGAGCTCCATGTTTTTATGCTGATTGGCATGACTAGTAGGAAGGAGGAAAAGTGAAGCTGAGGAGAGGAAATGTGCGCCAACGCTCAGTGGAGCTGGGCAGAAGGTGGAACATACGGGAGCAGACATAGGCAGGCAGACTGGCTGTTTGATGGTGGGAAGTTGAGGTCCTTCAAGTCTGATTGATGCCATTATATTCAGTGAAATAAGCAAAGCAAGGAGTCAACTAAGAGTGGAGGCTTGTTGGAAGTTTGAGGAAAAAGGAGAGGTGCAAAGCGGTCTCAGAGGTTGAAAGAACTAATGGATCGAGGCAAGATGGTAGAATTTCCTGAGTGAACCCAGAGTCTCCTGAGGGCTGGGCAGTAACAGGCCTTGTTGATGTACCCTGGGCAGGACAGCTTGTGTCAACTATGTAAAGTCAATGCCTTGCACACATAGGCTTTCCTTCCGCTGTGACTCTGAGTTCAGTGTCGGTATCACAAATTGCTATTATCCTTCCTCTTCATTTTGTGTGTGAACAATGATGTTGAAAGCACACTTTTACCTGAAGTATCAGCTTACACTTACTCTTTGAAGATGTCATTACACAAGAACATCTTCTGCAGCCCTCAGAAGGAGCTGACCCTATGCACTGACGCCGCCGCCCAGCAGAAGCCGTGACCTATGACCTGTGGGTGTGAAGTAGATTGAGGATTCTCAAGAGATTTGATACCCTTCATTAGCTGCAGAAATAAAGATGTATCATTTTGCTCTGTGTGAATGATGTAGTTTGAGCTTTTTAAAATTTGTTGGCTTAGTGAAGACAGGACCACACAAATCGCATGACTAACTCTCCTCAAAGGTTAGGTTCTTTTGCCTTGGTGTGTAGCTCTTTTGGTTAGAGCATCATCCCAATACACCAAGGTTATGGGTTCAATCTCTGGTTAGGGCACATGCCAGAAACAACCAATGAATGCATCAATAAAGTGGAACAAAATGTTTCTCTCTCTCAAATCAATAAATTTTTTAAAAGTTAGGTACTTTTTGCAGCCTACACACTGATGTCACAAAGAATATTAATACAAGTGAGGTGGACAGGATTGTATGCTGGGGTTTAGTCTAACTGGGTCAGGAAATGGAGAGAGAAATGAATAGAAAACGCTGAGGGAAAACAAGTACGTTAGTAGGAAAAATAAAGTTAAGCAGTAAAAATAATTGACCAAGGAAAACAGTCCATGTATATTTTATCTTTGGTCCTTCTATGATGTATATTACATACAGAGGATGATGAATAGAAAAGAACAATTAAAAGGTGAGTGTGCTTAACTGGGATTTCCTTTCTATTCCCCCAAATATCCAGCTAATAGGGACCCCTATACTGTACTTCTCTGTGCAGAGGTGAGAGTCTTTCTCTTCCAAACTGAAAGTCAAAATCTTGGATGCTTTTACCAGTATAGCCGCAAGCTCTTTGTGAATTTGGCAACTTACACTAGTGAGTGTGTCACTTTGAACAATGGTGATTTAGGCCCTTTCTAGATAACATTGAAATGACTTCCTTAACATTGAAATGACTTCCTTAACATTGAATGTCTGACCCTTAGCACTTTCCACACCTAAATCAAATAAATCACAAACCAAGAAATATATTATTAAACGCCCAACAAACTCATGAAAAAGTTTCATTTCAATTATAATTGTAAAAATCCAAATTAAACCACAGTGAACTACCATTTTTTTTTTTTTTTTTTTGCATGCCAAGTTGTCTAAAGATTGTAATTAAGACAATCCCTGAGGTAGAGGGAATGTGGCAGAGACTTCCCTATGCTTTAGAAACAAGTATAAATTGAAGCAACGTTTTCAAGACAACTTGACAAAATGTACCCCAAAGTCTTAAAACATTCATTTATTTAATCAAAAGTATATATGAGTGTCATGGAGGGCTGGAAATTATGAACATTCCATCAGTTTATAGACATTGCATAAATAATTACAAATGCAATGCATCCTGTAAAAGGAAAATCAGAAGGAAATAAAAATAAGGAATTATTCCTAAGAAAATAATCAAAATTATGTGGTAAGGTAATTTAAACAGTGAAAACTACCTAAGTGTCTACAGAGAGTGGGTTAAATAAATTATGGTATAGCTATACAGTGGAATCATATGACTTTAAGAGTAAAGTTATAGAAAAATAATAACATATAGAAATGTTCATAATACACTGGTAAATGGAAAATGTTTCAAAAGCATGTTCAGTATGACCAAATTTTGTAAAAACAAGAATCAAACTATTTCTATATCTCTATCCTTACTCATGTATCTATGCAGGACATATAGTCCCTCCTTATCCATAGTTTCACTTTCTGCAGTCTCAGTTACCCATGGTTAGCGCAGTCTGGAAATATAAAATGGAAAATTTCAGAAATAAGCAATTTATAAGTTTAACGTTACGCACCTTTCTGAAAAGCATGATGAAGCCCTGTGCTGTCCTGCCCAGTACGTGAGTCATACCTTTTGTCCAGTGTTATCCACCCTCTATCGGCAACCCTTCCATTACTCACTTCGCAGCCACCTGGGTTGTCAGATTAGTTATCAGGGAGAGGGAGAGACTACATTCACATAACTTTTTTTGCAGCCTATTGTTGTAATCGTTCTATTTTATTTTTAGTTATTATTGTTAATCTCTTACCGTGCCTAATTTCTAAATGAAATGTTATAACAGGCATGTACCCATGTGTTGGAAAAATCAGTATATGAAGAGTTTGGTACTGTCCAAGGTTTCAGGCATCCACTGGGGGTCTTGGCAGACATCCCACTTAGATAAGGGAACTCATGTACTAGCAAAATGGTAGCAATGATAATTGCTACCTAGGGATATTCTTGGTGCTTGTCATCATGAACATTCACATAGTTGTGAAAACTAATAATAATATTAGCTTTTCAGACAGCATAGTGTTTTGGAGAGTTTAAATTAGTGAAGTATATTTACCTCTAATAGAAGAAATATTAGGGAAAAATTGAAATTTTCAAATCCACTCAACTGTTCCAGCTTTTTAAAACATCATTACTCATTCCTTCTATATTACTTTTGTGAGAAGACCTTCACTTTAAGAATACTAATTTGAGATGAAATATGTATCATCCTAGTGACTAGGGCCTGAGATGTTTAAATGACCTTTTGAATCCCAGGGGATGAAAAGGTCAGGCTTGAGGTCATTGGCTGAGGAGTTACAAAGTCATTATTTTGGCTGAGAGGATAGTAAACTTGGGCTACAGACAAAGGTGTTGCTCTTTCAGTGACAAAGAAAACAAATACTCAGTCCTCTCCTCTGAGCACACATGCTGGCTATAATCAGCCAGTGTTGGTGGGTTGGAGTTGATGATCATTATAAATCTAGTATGCCTTGCTGTTGACCACTTATGGTCAGGTTGAAGTTACTGATGTTTTGGAACATATCTGGGGAAATAAGCATTTTCAAGGACAGGTAAAGAGTCTTATAACTGTGGAGATGGAAGGGTTTTAGGTGGTCCTTTTTTCTGAATCTAGAAAGGCTGACA